TACTAGTTGCGGTATTTAAATATCCTTACTACTAGTTGTGGTATTTAAATATCCTTACTACTAGTTGCGGTATTTAAATATCCTTACTACTAGTTGTGGTATTTAAATATTCTTACTACTAGTTGTGGTATTTAAATATCCTTACTACTAGTTGTGGTATTTAAATATTCTTACTACTAGTTGTGGTATTTAAATATCCTTACTACTAGTTGTGGTATTTCATAAACAGAAATTCTTTCACTTTATTCATTCATGCAAAAAAAAAAGATAATGTAAGACTTTTACACTTTATATATTTAGTTTGTGTTTTTTTTAATGGAAAATGAGTCTTTTGTATTTTGACAAAAGGACCTGTGCCAATCACATTATATTCAGATACACATAAAAATGATAGTTATATATATATTTTTTCAATGATAGGTTCTGAGTTGGCCATTATGTATAACGACGAATCTGTTCTTGAAAATCATTCCTTAGCTGTTGCTTTCAAAATTCTTCAGGATGAGAACTGTAACATTTTTGTAAACCTTAACAAAAAACAGCGGCAGACACTTCGTAAGATTGCCATTGATATGGTAAGTTTAATTGGACCATTTTGCTTGTTTTACCACTCAGACTGGATCTGAGAATATGTATAACTATCTCTAATAATAATAATGTTAGTTTTAATTGTTTAGTTATTCATATACCTCTTATAAAAAGAACATTTATAAGTATTATGAATTTTATTGATAAAGCTAAAGAAATAGTAAAGTTTGTAATAAACTCTTTGGTTAATAATAATTGTGAAACCTGGACAGTTGTAGTAGAAATCATCTGTAAGTCTCACAAGACTATAGATTAGGCACCAAAAAAATTAACTCTTTAGGCACTTTCTTGGAACCAAGATATAAGTTTAGCTTTCCACAAGAAGCTACTTAAATGAAATTGAAAGTAAAGGTCTGTATGAAGTGTTTGTCAGCTTAAAGAAAAAGTTTAATGTTTATTACAATACGGAGTTGTGTAATCTATCAGAATATCAAATTCATGACAATCTAAGTTTTTTTTACCTACGATATCTGAAGATATGTATTTTGAGTGACAAAACCAAGCAACACACACAAAAAGAACCTTAAAACATTAACTTTAACGACTTCTTAAAATATCTGTGATAAGTACTAAGGCCTGTAAGGTAACTTGTTCAAAAGATAGTTGCTTTACTCTTAAGTTTCTTCTGCATAGATAACATTTGTTTTGTAAAATAAAACCTGTGCTGGTTCTTTTTTAATATAAAACAGATAAAAATTAAATCATTATACTCCTAACGTTTTGACTCTTGTGTTATGAAAGCTATTAAATAGTGTTTTGGAAAATCTATGACTCCTCTCCCTCTCTTCTTCATTATTCATATTTATAATGGATCTCTAGCTCCTCCATTGTTCCTTTTGCTAATTCATCCCTCTTTCATTAATCTACATATAACTTTTCACTCTTTCCTTGATCTCTTTCCATCCTTCCTCCATTGATCCTACTTATAACCCATCCTTTCTCCATTGATCCTGCTCATAACCCATCCTTTCTCCATTGATTCTACTTATAACCCATCCTTTCTCCATTGATCCTACTTATAACCCATCCTTTCTCCATTGATTCTGTAGATAATCCTTCTATTCTTTATTGATCTTGCTTATAACCCATCCGTTTTCCATTGTTGCTTCTTGTAATCCATCCGTTTTCCATTGTTGCCTCTTGTAATCCATCTTTTCTTTGTTTTCTGTGTTATAACATTGTTTTTCAATGAAAAGTTGCATTTGCTGTTATGTCTTACCATCACTTGGTAGCAGGATCTTGAAAAGGACAGCATGAAATGTTGTCTCTTTTAGTGGCCTTACTGTAAAAGGTTTATTGAGACACCAAGTCTGTACTGTATCAGAAAATCAAGAATTTTGTGTTATTTATTTGGTCTAAAAGTTTTTGCATACCTCTGCTAGGACTATGTTGTTGTAAATATAAAGTGTTTTTATACTTGCAAATTTTTGAAATACTTTTAAAGATTTTTCCTAAATGACAATAATAAGCAAATAAATTATTAAATGATATAATATGCATATGATTTCAAACCTGCAGTTACAGGGAATTTCACGTACTGCCATGATGGACTCATCTTATTAGGACTTTTAGCATTGTAATTGAATTTTAAGTTAAGTTTTATTGTTAAGAAACCTTTTTATAAATTAAATTAGACCTGAGTACATATTATTATTAATCAGAAATATATGAATGGTATAATGTCTGTAACTTCAAGAATCAACAATATTACTTAGTTCCTGATAAGTTGTTTGTATTGTAGGTTATAGCAACAGATATGTCAAAACACATGAGTTTATTAGCTGACTTGAAGACAATGGTGGAGACAAAAAAGGTGGCTGGGTCAGGTGTGCTTTTACTAGACAATTATACAGAAAGAATTCAGGTAATAAATACCATACTTATTGCAGTAGTATTAGTATTAGGATATTGAAATTATAGTTTCAGTTTTCTAACTTGTTCCATACATTTTAAAAGTTCCGATAGATCTTATCTCAAGGATTGAGGACATATCACCAATCTGATGGTGTTGGTTATTTGACCATTACACCTGTTTGCTATGTAATAAAAAGTCACAAATCCAAATCATTGCTTCCTTATTTCTGTAGCTGTGATAGACCAAGTGGTTAGTATGGTGTGCTATGGATCTGTGGGTTCATCATTCATGCCCTATTACTTTATAAAAAGTCATGATCCATAATTTGGGGTTTATATAATAAGGGTGATGGTCTTATCCTACTATTCAGAGAGACAAGAGTAGCCCAATAGTTGGTGGTATGTGTGCTGTTAACTAGCTGCCTTCCATGTTTTCTATAGTTCAGTATTAGAGATGCCTTGAACAGACAGCGCATGAGTAGCTTTGCATGAATATCCAAAGAAACAAATAAGGAAGGACTTCAAGCAAAACATTAATTGTTTTTTAATGAGTTGCTTTTGGTATATTGAGATGAATGAAAAATCAATTTATGTATATCTCTATCTTAAGGTTTGAAAAATTAGTTTTTACAAAACTGAATAAAAAATTAAACCGTTGAGTGTATTTGGGAATTGTGTGTGTGTGCATGTAGGTTTGTGTCAAATATTTACAAGTTTATCAGATTAAGATATTAATTCCATCAGCTGAAAATAAGAATAAACTAATCTTTTTAAATTTAATTTTATAACATCGTTAATAAAATGCTGAAATATATAGAAGTTTGAAGACTCTCCTGACATTTATATTGTTATGTCTCTGTATGTTTGTTTGTTAATTTTTCTACGATACAAGTCCTTTCTTAAATAAAACTTGTTTATTCTTCCTCATTACAACTTTGCAATACACTTAATTTTCACATTTACACACACTGTAGTTCACAACAATTCACTCACTTTCTACCACGCTTGACTCAATTGTCCTTCTCTATCTCCACCTGTCAGCAACTATAGTTCCGATCTCTGTATCTGCTCTCCTTGGTTCCCACCGACCGTAACTGCTGTCCTTCGTTCCCCACTCTCTCTCCTTCTCTCTCTTTCTGTCTAGCACACTTATATACGATAATACCACCTCTTCTAGAATCTTCTAGCTTTCAACACGTGCTACCAGCGTCACTTGACTTCTGCTGTCGTAACACACTAGCGTTTATCGCAAATCTTCTAGAATACTCGTCATGTGACTCCCACTGTCATAACACTGCCCCTTCCTTAGTATTGTTCGTCCCAAACAATAGCCACTTACATTAAACCAATAAACAATTAACAATAACTTAATTAAATGTACAGAATTTACAAACACAAAATCAAAATTCAACAAAGTCTTTGAATTTTACGGAACGTATCTTCTTCCGTACTGGTCTCCATCTCGTTGGCTTCTGCTTCAAGTGGAGTTCATCTGCTTCATCAGGAATCGACCTATCATTGGTAACAGTCATAACAGTGGTAGTAACTTCATCAAGGGCTTCA